TCTGTCAGGGTAATGTTTCTGGCAGTTGGGGAGTTAGGCCATAAGTTTTCCCACACCGGGTAAGGGAGGTGGTAGTCCTGGTGGGCAAAAGCCATCGTGAGGACCCAGACTCCACTAGGGGCCAAGAAGCAGAATGTGGGGAAACTGGGGAAAGGAGCAGAGAGAAAAGTAAGGTGTGTGTGTGTTGACTGGGAAGATGGGAGCACACTGAAAATAAACCTGTCTCAGGCAGAACTAGTGTTCTGCCTGTTTGCCTTGCCTTTTTACCTCTATCTGAATGAGGTCACCCTAGAATGTGATCACACTTGGAGCACTTGACATTTGTGATTATGGAATAGCTGTGTCTTGTTCATCAGGAGCTGCTGATTAATGCTTGATGTGTAGCCTCCCCAATCCCGACCTCCTGCCAAACATACTATTGTGGGATTGGGTAGTGCTGACCACTTCCATTGTTGTTGTTGTTAGGTGCCAGACTCATAGTGACCTTATTCACAACAGAACAAAACATCGCCTGGTCCTGAGCTAACCTCACAATGGTTATGCCTGAGCCCATTGATGCTCCCACTGTGTCACTCTATCTCATTGGGTACCTTCCTCTTTTTTGCTGACCCTCCACTTTACCAAGCATGATGTCCTTTTCCAGGGACTGGTCCCTCCTGATAATCAGTCCGAAGTATGAGAGATGACGTGTTGCCATCCTGGCTTCTAAGGAGCATTCTGGCTGTACTTCTTTCTGACACAGAATAGCTTGTTACCACTTCCTTTAGTTAAGGTTGAATCGTTAACTCACTGGCATCTGATATGAGCAAAACCTGGTTCATGGTTGCAGTGGGACCTCTCCCTAAAGAATGCCTACAGCCCAGAAAGACAAACAATAGGAAACTCAATTTGCTGCTCTTTAGACAACATTGGTTAACAGTTTCTCAAAATTCCAGATATTTGCCTCGCTATTTGGGGCTGGAAGGATCCAAGGAAAACCGTAGGGTCCCCCTAAGGTGAACAGGCAAAGACTTGACTACTTATCCCCCGAGGCAGTGATAGTGGGAGTTGGGGGTGGATAACACCAAACCAAACCAGTTGCTTTGAGGTCTGATCTGAATCATGGAGACCCTTGGTGACAGAGAGGAACTATGCTCCATAAAAGTTTCCATGGCTGTAACCTTTCTTCTGAGGTGCCTCTGGGTAGGTTTGAACCATCAACCTTCAGTTAGTAGCTGAGCACTTAACTGTTTGCATCACTGAGGGATTCTGCAGGGGGGAGATAGCCTCAAGGTAATCTGTGCAAGGGGCCAGTAGTCCAGGGCTCAGGATTTAGCACTTGGGTCTGTAGAAATGCTTGAGAAATCCCAGGGTATAGAAAAGGTCTATAATGTGAGGCAGTACCAGACTCTTTACCTGGTCCCTCCACAGACCTCAACAAGGAGCTAGAAACAAGGCTGACCCACACTCAGGAATCCAGTCAATAAACCTAACCCTGTTAGGTTCCTTCTGCTGCCTCTCCCTTGATAGCACACGCCTTTCCTATCTATCTACCTGCTCCTTCCTAACAAAGGCTATAAATAGATGTGCATGTTGTCCCAGGCCCAAAGTAGCAACAACAACAACAAAGAAATTGAGGTGTGGGGTGTAGTCTGCAGAATGAGACCTCATTTTCTCTGTATCCACTGTACTGAAAGATTTTCCATACACTTCTCAATGAAGGCCGACATTCTTATAAGAAATTAAAAACAAAATGCAAATTCAAATTCCTAGGAAAGTCGTATTTTTTTGCCTGTGTTTTTCCTTGCTTATCCCTCTGTCTCTGCCAATTTAGAGTCAGAGACAACTTGTCACATGATTTCTTTGAAAATCGGGCTCCATTTGGAGCTGCTTTTTCTACCCACTGCCCATCTGCCTGCTCGAAAGGCGATCAAAGTATTGGGTGTGGTGAGTATATTTGCCATAGAGCTCTGTCAAGTCAGAACTGAAATATTTGATTGGACTTGGTCCTAACACAGGCAGTTTTATTACCCTACATGTCCTGGAACTCTGTTACCTCTGGCGGGAGAAAACTTCAGCCTGGGTCATTCCCGGACGGCCAGCCTTGGCCTCTTTCACCAAGTAGCTGCACCATGAGTCATGGAGGCTGACTTTGGAGAGGCTGAACATGAGGTGGCAGCAGAGGAGAAAGGCAGTGAGAAGCCAGCAGGCTGTGGTAACTATGGCCCCTGGAGCTTTGTATTACGAACTAAGGGGTTAACATAAGTAGGAGGAGAGGATGCCCAGAGAGGACAGGGGGCCAGGCCAGTCCCTGCCAGAAATGATCCTGGTGTTGACTGCTGGGCAGGGCCTGTGATACGAAAACCAGACATGGCCTTAGGATGGAAAGACCGAGCGAGCTGCGTTCGTTTCTCCAATTCCTCTCATTTAGGCAGAAGAGCAGCAAGCTCCAGATACTTAATTCTTTCCAGGTTGTGAAACCTTCCCTTCTCATTCAATGAGTGAGCCTCCAGCACTCTCTTGTGGCGGTTTATTAACACCATAGACCAAGAACACTTTATTTTATTTGAATTGGCCAAAAAAAGGGTTCTATACAAGGTAAAATACTTCATAGAATATTAAGTTAAAAATAAATAAGGTTGTTTCATCCTACATAAATCTCCAGTTACATATTCAAGCAGACAGCATTAGATATAAGTTAAATACAATAAAATGATCTTAGGACACTCTGATTGATAGGTTCACCATAGATTGCCTGTTTACTCCCTAGCTTTGCTCTGGACCCATATAAGGTTATTGAATAACCATATAAGGTTATTGAATAATCCATTGAGAATAATCCCTCATCGGAAAGAACTAATGACATCCAGGTCTTCAAATCACATTTGGTTGAGAGGAAGGATTGGGTGTTAACATTTAAAACAATGGTTGAAGAACGGAGATCTGCAAGCTGAAAGCCCAGAAGCCCAGGCCTCCTCTGGTTCACCTGGGATATGGAAATAGATTACTTAGAGAGCCAAAGGCAGCACATGACCCTGGAGCAACAGCCATATGAACAACAGATAAATTGGAAACCTGAAATATAGCAAACTCTTCTTTGAAGCACGACACGGCAATTTCCAATGTAGTCTTAGTCTAAATTTCACCATGGAATCCTCATTAAGTGGGTTGAATTAATATTAAGAACTCTGTTCACCCCTGAATTAGGAAATAAGCCTCTGGGGGTAAAGTTCAGGCTAGAGTTGACAAATACGCAAGGTATATATTTCACAATTCCTTTTCATAGCAGGCATTACTAATTGATCGCTGCACTCTTTTATATCACATTCCATCTGAACACAGCACTCCAGGCAGCTTCTATCAATCAATTATGCTTAGCTTGAGATGGAAATTGCTTACTAACCTTGGTCTTTCTATGAGTTCTGAACTATTTTGTGTGCAAGAATAGATAAAACACAGGCACTATAGCCTGTATGTAATCACTTAACCTCTCTGGTTAAATTTATTCCATGGGTAAGGGTACCTAACGCAGACCTGTTTAGAAAAATTGGCATAGTGTATGATGTCTGGCTCTGGTAGCATAGTGGTTACGAATCGGGCTGCCAACCGCAAAGTCGTAGTTCGAAACTGCCAGCTGATCCGCGAGAGAAGATGAGGCTTTCTGCTCCCGTAGAGATTTATAGCCTCGGAAACCCTGATCAGGGTCACTATGGGTCGGAACCGACTCGATGGCACTTAACAACAACAAATGTTGTCTGGCACATAGTAGGTATTCAATAAATGTGTGGCTCTGTGGGCTAATGCATCAGACTGCAAAGTCATTTGAACTGCAAGGTCGGTGGTTCAAGCTCACCAGCTGCTCCTTGGAATCTCTATACAGGGTTGCTATGGGTTGGAATCGACTTGACGGCACTTAACAACAACAACAACATTATTATGAGTATCATTATTATTATTAAATTATTTTAAAGCTATTGACAATGGAGTTGGTGATGACATTTTCATTAAAAGAAGGAAAGTATAATGTTACAGGTTAAGTTGAACCATATGATATTCAATTGTCTTGATCTACATTAAATGCAATTTCTTCTAGTTCAACCTAATACACAATGATGTATTTCATTCAAATCATTGATTTGTTTCAATGTTATTAGATTCTTCCCTTCAAATATTTCTCCCAGGAACATACTCCAACCACTCAATGGCAAAAACATTCTCAAATCACTTGCAGGTGAAGTGGAGGACCTAGTGTTAAGTCCCACTACCTGGTATCAAATAACTTCCTAACACTTCAGCTTTCCCATCTGTAGATTGGGAATACTTGTGCTTTCTTTAACAGCCGTTTTATGAAGATTAGAAGAGATAATGAATAGAAAAGCATTTTCAAAACTAAAATCAGGATTCCAAAGTAAGGTATTATTAGTTCCACTATGCTATATCACTTGAGAAAACATTAGCATTCAACATTTAATCTATAGTCATATTTTTCTATAGAAACACTGTACATAAAAGAGTAGAGAATTCATGCAATCATGCCAAATTAGCATCAAAACTGATCCTGATGATACTCTTTAGTGGGTATTAGAACTAAGGAAATATATGGTGCTTTGTTGTAAAAACCATACCCCATGAAGGTGAAATAAATGTGATAAGAGAACCATTGTGTTTACGAGTCCTTACATTTACACCAGAAATCACACACATTCGAGCAACTAACAGGGAAGACAGAAGAATCTCCTCCCTCCTTCCTTATAGGTCTTTAAAATGGATTAGGCAAGTTTGATTTTGGTGTGGTTTTGATTTAAGATAGGAATATAAACTTTATGACCTCTCAAAGTCACTTTCAGACCTATAGTTTTAGCAATTCTAAGAAGGAATAGTTTACTTTGCCTCCAATGGAAATTGGACAATGTTCCAACCAGCTTCTAGCAAAGGTGAAGGTGGATCAGTACTCCTCCTCAAGTTTTCTCCCCTGATCCAGGGAACCTTGGCCAACGAAAGGCACCTGGGGAGGGTCACCTTTAGTCGGCCTCAAAGGCACTGTTGGTGGCTCCCACGTATTCTGATTTCTTCTTGTGCCTCATCCACATTTTCCGGAGGATGCTGGAGACACCACAGGAAGCACTTCCTGTCAGCGGTAGGGAGGCTTCGGCTCCTTGGGGAAGGGCTGGGTACTCTTCAGTCATCTTCTTGAGGTGTCTGGAGCTAAAGAAAGGCCGGGGTTGATGGGAAGGGCAGTCACTTCACTGAACCAGAGCTTTAATTTTGGACCCTAGAGAAGGGTGGCCAGAGCTGTCTGTACCCCTCTACTAACACAGCCTTGACCAGGATCTGTGTGGCTGGAGGGTTGCTGCTGGGATCCCCTCAGGAATGACTCTTCTTGGGTGAGCACTGCAGGGGGGAGGAAAAAGGGGCCCTGGGTCCTCTGGTCCATTGGACCTCAAGTTGCTCTTGGCCCACCCTGAGAGTCTGAGGATAGAAAGATACAAAGCATCTTTACTACCTACTTGTCTACCCCTCCCACCTCTATGCAAGCAATCACTCTCTTTCTTTTTAAAATAAATGTAATTCTGAATTCACTCTAATTTATTTATAAAATCCAAATTTAGGATTAAAAAAAACTGCAACCATAAAGCTGTAAAAAAGATAATCCCACCCCCCCCCCCCAGCCCCCAACAGAAACTCTGTATCTGCTAAGTAATATGCTGGTGGTGGTGTGCCGTGGAGTTGGTTCTGACTTATGGGCTGCATAGGGTTTCAGAGGTCGTAAACCTTTAGGGGAGAAGAAAGCCTCATCTCACTCCCATGGAACAGCTGCTAATTTGGAACTGCTAACCTTGTGGTTATCAGACCCACTCATAACAACTATGCTACCAGAGCTCCTCCATAAGAAATAACTCTCCTTAATATTCTCCCCACACCAAGCTCTGTAATCACTAATGTACTTGCCATGTCTATGAATGTGCCTATTCTAGATATTTCATGTAAGCAAGATACAATATTTGTTCTTTTGTACCAGAATTACTTCATTCAGCATGTTTTCAAGGCTTATGCATATATCAGAACTTCATTTTTCTTTATGAATGGATTGTGTGTGGATATATCACATTTTGTGTTTCTCCTTTCATCTATTAATAGAGAGAGAGTTGGGTTGTTTCCACCTTGGGACTATTGTGAATGATGTTGGTATCTGAACCCCTGCTTTCAAGTCTTTGGGGTATAGACTTAGGAGTGGAATTATTGGATCAGCTTGGTGGCTCTGTACAATAAATACTGGACTGCAAACCACAGGGTCGGCGGTTTGAGTCCACAAGCCACTGTTCAGGAGAAAGATGAGGCTTTCTTATCCTGTGAAGGTTTACAGCCTCGCTGTATCTATGCAAGCTATCTTGCTGGAAAGGGCAGATGCCACAAAACATCAGCCATTGAATGAGCACGACATTTTGAGTTCTATAGCCAAGGACTCCAACCTTTCCTGTAGAGGGATTATCCACACCTGCTACTTTAGCTGCTTAATCTGAACCAGAGTTCATAGAGCAACTACCAGTAGTTCTAAAACTAGTCTGAAAGTCTTACTTTGTATTCCACACACTTCTTCCCCTGTGGGCAGAAGCCTTGGCCCATTCTGTAGGCTTTCCTGACACCAGGGTGCCTGTGGGAGCCTCTGAATATGGTTCATGATTACATCCATTTAATTAACCAAAAACCCTCCCATGGGAGACTTCTTTGAGACTAAAAAAGCTGGCATTAACAGAGGGGATACCATCACAAACACTTTAACTTAATCCTAGGGAACAGTTGACCAGGCTCTACAGAGAGCCAGGCTTGTTGCCCTCATTGAAAGATAATTTACAGCTGGCATGGCTTTTGTTGTAGCATTTTGATCGCCTGTACATAGGCCACCTGCTTCTTTTCTGAAGGCTCAGGGTGGTGCAGGAGCCCTGTGGATGGGAGGTGGAGACCCAGCACTTACTCCTTTGTTGTAACAGTGCCTTTCCCAGAGTCTGTGGCTGACACCTCCACAGCCGCTGGGGCTTTCACTGAAATCCGTGGAACCAGAGGAATCTGTACAGGAAGGACAGATGGAATAGGAATGTGAGGATTCACCCATATTCCCAACTCTGGTCCAAACTGCAGCCATTTGAAAAGGGAAGATTAGATTGTCGGATGAACAACGAACCTAGAGCTAAAGTTTTCACATCTTAATGGGCCTGCAGACTCCTTGGAGAGCTTCTTAAAACAGATTGCTGGGTCCCATCCCAGTTCCTGATTCTGCAAGTCTGAAGTTGTTGTTATTGTTGTTAAGTGCGTCGAGTCGGTTCCGACCCATAGCGACCCTGAACAGGGTTTCCGAGGCTGTAAATCTTTACAGGAGCAGAAAGCCTCATCTTTCTCCAGCGGAGCAGCTGGTAGTTTCGAACTGCTGACATTGCAGTTCGCAGCCCAATTCGTAACCACTATGCTAAGTCTGAAGTGGTACCTGAGAATTTGCATTTCTAGCAAGTTAGAGAAACAGCAACTCAATCTTACCTGGGAACTCTAACACCCCATGTCTCCCTCTCATTTGTTGTCAAATCCTGGAGGTTCTTTCTGGATCAACCCCTTCTCCATTTTCACCGAGGAGCCCTGGTAGCATAGTGAGCTACGAGTTGGGCTGCTAATCGCAAGAGCAGCAGTTTGAATTTACCAGTTGCTTGTCTGGAGAAAGATGAGGATTTCTGCTCTCATAAAGATTTGTGTTGTTAAGTGCCGTGGAGTCGGTTCCGACTCATAGAGACCCTGTATGAGTCTTTTTGAGGCTTTAAATCTTCACAGGAGCAGAAAATCTTTCTTCCGTGGAGTAGCCCATGGACTTAAACTGCTGACTTTGTGGTTTGCAATTTAGTACTTATTACATGGACCTAGGGTGGGAAACTCTATACAGAGTCGCTATGAATCAGAACAGACTTGATAGCACACAACCACCATCACCATTTCCACTACAAGGGTCTGTCCCTTGGGATCTTCTTGTTTCTGACCCGACTGATCTCATTCACCATGCCCCTTCTTAATCTGGAACCCACTGGAGGGAAGGTACTTGTCTTGTCCCTACTTCCTCTGCCCTTTTTCCTTAGTTCAACCTTATTCGGTGCAGCTCAGTGTTGACTCAGATTCAGTTGTGCAGATGGTGGGTTCTGGGCTGATCTAAGGCCCTAGGGTGATGGCCTCTGGGAACTGCTGGACCCAGCCCACATCTGAGGTCCAGGAGGGTGAGGGTCAGCCAGGCTCTTCCCTTCTTCATTACTCTCACCTCTATCTGTGGCCACCACCCCAGCACCACCCTATTTGCTCAAGCCTCCCAACTGTGGTCACCTCGCTGTGAAGGGCATTGTGTGAGTTTATCCAAGTCCTGGGGGCAGTGAGCCTTGCTCCTACCCTTCACTTGGGCTGTCCTCAGAGTTCAACAAGACACTTCTTGGCCTGTCATAGCCTGACAACCATCCTCTGTGGCAATGATCCAGCTTCCCCAGGTTTGCCTGAATATAAGATTGGGACTTGGGGTTCCCTGGAAGAATGGTTTATTCTATCCCTGCCACTCTGTGGGTTGTCTAGCATACTGATGAGCTGAATAGAACCCTTGCACTAAATCTCCTTTTAAGTGCACCAGCAGTCTCTGCCCAGTTTGTTAAATAAGGATGTGGCAGCTACTTAGACAATCTCACAGGTCTCTTTTACTCCTGCCCTTTTAGGGTGCTATGAATCTTGAGAAGTGATGTTGAAAAAGCCCAGGATTTCTTAGGAGGCCCAGCTAACCTCAACTTCTACCACAACTCCAACACCAACTGTTGCCATGAAGATAGTCAATGAAATCAAGAAAATGAAGGAGCTGTACTTTTTTTCAGATTGATGCTGAGATGGATCTGAAAACATACCACCTGGCTCCTCCTTTGAGGACCTTCTAGATTGGCCTCCACTGCAGGGAGCCCTTGACCCAACGACTTGCCTTTCCAGGGGAGACCCAGATGTGGTGGCCAATGTGGAATGAGGAGGGAACAGAAAGGCATTTGATCTAAGTCACCATGAGCTCCCTTTGGGAGCTTCTGTATGGTAGTTTGACTTCTCCCTGCACCCATGCTTGCTTTTCCTCTCCTGTCATTGGAGTTTATCCCTAATATACATCAACTCCAAACCTCACTGAGATCTTTCTGGCTCAGAGACAGAATTCTCATCTTTCATTCTCTGCCATTGTACAGCCACCGCCATGTCTGTCAGTGGAGTCTTTTGTGTTACTATGATGCTGAACAGTTCTCAGTGGAACATCCAGATCAAAACAGACTAGGCAGAAAGGTCTGACAATGTAATTCTAAAAACCAACCAATAAAAATCCTGTGGATTATAATGGACCATTGTTTTAACCCCAACTGGTCATGGGGATGGTACAGGACTGGGCAGTGTTTCATTCCACTTGATGCCACCTAACCGCAACCTCAAACTCATTTCAGTGACAGCTTCCAGAGACCCTAATCTGATCAGATGACCGACCTCTAATGGAGGCGCACCTCTCCTGAGATTTCTGCTGCTCATGGTGCTTTGGAATCTTATATCTCCTTGCTCCTGTAGCTATACTTGGGAATTAATTAGGCATTTCCACCTGTCAGGAGCCTAACCTGGAGACCAGAGCTTGCTTCCTGTTCATGAGATATCCGTTTGGTAATATTTCCCTCTGTTTGCCTAAGAGCTGAATTTCAGTGGGTACCAAAAGAACACAACACCAGGTCAACTGACATGCTTTTAGGAGCAAAGAACCCTCAGCTAAGCTTTTCTAATAATCCTCAGGATTGGAACAGCAGGTAATTAGTCCCTGTGCATGGCACAGTTAAAACAGGCATAGCAGGATTAAAGCATAATAAGTAACCACTTATAGATTTTACTTACCAAAGGTTTTCCATATGCTCGGTTCCCACACAGATTGGATGATTTAGGATCAGAAAGCCGAACTGCAAAGTTGAACAGAGGAGATGATTATTCAGGGGTACTCTGTGTTCTACCTCCCCCTGTTTCTGCATCAATTATCCCCAAAGCCAATCAATTATAAATCTGGAATTACTAAAGGCCTTTATACAAAGCAACAGCAAAACCAAGATGTAGGATCAGTCAACAGAAAAACTGCTGGTTGGTGTGACCTGCACCCTGACATTTTGGTGGGGGTGGGGAAGGAAGGGAGGGAAGAGCTTGGAAACAAAACCACTAGTGTGCCCACACTTAGTGCTGTGTCTGTCGTACTCAGAGAACCTGCTCTTCCTTCCTCCCTTCCTGAGGCTCCATCACAAGGGGCCACTAGAAGTTAAACCTTCGATAAAAAACCAAACCAAACCCACTGCTATTGATTCGGTTCCAACTCACAGTGACCCTATAGAACAGAGTAGAACAGCTCCTTTGAGTTTCTGAGACCGTAAATCTTTATGGGACTAAACAGCTTCATCTTTCTCTCATGCAACAGCTGGTAGGTTTGAACCACTGACCTTGCAGTTAGCAGTCCAAAATTTAACCCAGTGTGTCACTGGGGATCCCCTAAATCTTTATAGGTAGGGTTAATATTTAGCATGATGCTACTGACACCCCTCTTTTAAAATGAGCAGAGAAGTACTGCCTACCTTGGGAAATATAGCCCTATTTTGTGGAAGGAATGTAATTGATCAGATCAGTGTTGTGAGGTATAGCGGATGTATCTGGGAGAATCTTCTTGCTAGGGCTTCTGTTCTTGAGGTTGCAACATACCTTTCAGTAATTTTCTACTCTGAATGAAGCCTGCAGCTTTTAAGAATCCAGGTACAGATTGGAAGTAGTTGGTAGTAGCTAAAAGAAGGTTGGTTTTCAACCCAGTCCTCTCCAGGGGTAGATATTCCAGGACTAGCTCTATCCTACCACATTGCAGCATATAGAAATAACACATCCCCTTCAAGAAAACATCTCTGGATTTTTAAAAAAAGATCATTGTGGGATGTCCAGCAAGATGGAGGACTAGAAAGACTCACTACATGAACTCTCTATAAGAGTGGTGAACATCCCATCCAAAGACCGTATATTGTTGTTAAGTGCTGTCAAGTCAGTTCTGACTCATACCAAACCTATACAGGTTTCCTAGGGGCAGCTGGTAGGTTTGAACCATCAACCTCATAGTTCATAGTCCAGTGATGATACTACACTAGGAGTATAAGGCCCAAGAAATCCTTTGGTCTGGCCCTGCCAAGGCAACCTCAGTTCCAGCTATCACATTGTTGTTGTGTTAAGTGCTGTCAAGTTGGTTCCAACTCATGTTGTTGTTAAATACCATGGAGTCAATTCCGACTCATAGTGACTCTGCACAGGGTTTCCAAGGCTGTAAATCTTTACAGGAGCAGAATGCTTCATCTTTCTCCCACGGAACTGCTGGTAGTTTCGAACTGCTGACCTTGAGGTTGGCAGCCCGACTCGTAACCACTACGCTACCAGAGACCCTCTGTAGGGTTTCCAAGGAGTGACTGGCAAACTTGAACCACTGACCTTGAGGTTCAAACGGACCTTCCAGTCCAGCGCATTAGCCTACAGCACCACACCTGCACTCCAGCCATCACATTAGGGTTGAGTTAATTAAATGTTTGATGAAATACAGCAGGCCAATTTTTAAGTTGATGTTATAAATTTTATATACATTTATATAAATATAAAAGAAAAAACGTTCACCAGCCTTGCTCTACAACAAAGATACGCAAGACCACATGAACTAGACAGATGAAAATTCTGGAGCCCTGAACTTCAGAGGAAAGATCACAGAAGTGAGTTGAGTGTTTCCTGGGAAGAGAAGCTGAGCAGGGATGGTGAGAGAGGGAGACTGACTCTTGAATGGCCAACTAGACACAGCATGATCGTCTTGTGAGCAGCTTAGATCACAGAAGGATGCCTGGTGGAGCAGATTTATACATGCCATAGGAAAGGTATGGTTCCTTCTTTTTCTCCATGCTCCCTGGTGATCAGAGGTGTGACCAGCTCCCACGCTCAGCACAAACCCGGTTCTCCAGGAGTTTGGAGCCACGTGATTGGGAGCCATGCCAGTGTGAGGCGGGGGCTGGCTCTTCTACCTTGGCACCCCATTTTGGTGTCTGGATTCTGGCAGGAATGGCTCTAGAGCTACAAAACCTGCAGAGCCACAAGACCAGCATTTAACCAATCACTCTGCCCCCAACTGTCCCATAGTCCTAACAGACACTGAAACCAGCCCCATCAAAGACCTCCATGAACGAAAGACTTCTGGATTGAGCGCCCTGAGAATAGATAACACCAAGGCTGACAGGAAGTCCATCTAGGGCTGGAAACTCTGCTGTCATATCCATGCCATACCCACTTTGTGACCTCCTTGGCTTGCGGGAGCCTACAGAGTTTTCTCCTCTCTGAGTCCCACACCTATATTGTTTCATTGCTATTTTTTAAGGGTTTTTTTTTTTTTCCCTTTTGTTGTTTGTTTATTCTTTCTCCTCATTCTCTTTCCATTCCCTTGATTTTTATCTCTGCTTTTGTTTTTCCTTCTTTTCTTCAGCTTCTCATTGCCTTCTTCTTTCCTTTCTTTTGATCTTTTTCTTACTATTCTTCACTGTCTTTTCATCTTTACTCTTCCTGATTTTTCTAAGTATTTTTTTAAAATTTTCTTTCTTTTATTTCTTCTCTTATTTTTCTCTTTTATAGTTCCATTCTCTGTCCCTCTTTTGTCTTTATGGTTATTATATTCTCTTTGGGTCGTTGCTGCTTCTTTTTCTCTTTTCATTGTTGGTTCCTTGTTTGTTAATTCTGTTTTGTTTTCTTGTGTGTGTGTATCTTCTCTTTCCCACCTGACAAGAGACAGCAACTGTGCCCATTCAGCCCAGACACAACCGTACCCTCTGCAGCTCCACCACTGGGCAAGATAGACAGCAGCCAACACCAGCTAAACTGAGCTGCATGAATGGCAAACAAGAATGGTGTGTATGTTTCCATTCTCCAACTACACTCACATGAGACAGTTGGCGAGACCCTAAGAACATAGAGCTATACAATCATCAATTAAATACAAATATGACAACCCTACAATGCCCCAGATACAAAAGACAATTTTAGCTCACACAAAGAAACAAGAGAGAATGACTCAAATAAATGACCAAGATACAGAGCCAGAAAAGGTTTCTGGGGAGGAATGGTAATGGAACTAACTGAAAAAGAATTCAAAAGAATGATATTTAGGTACCTTCTAAGGAAAGAGTGAGGAGAGCAAGAAGAACACAGAAAAAACTTTAGAAAAATCCAGGAAAACAACATAAGAACAATCAGATAAAATAAATGCAAAGTTTAAAATAATACAAAACATGCCATTAGAAATTCAGAAGATTAATACTAAAATTTCAGAAATGGATTTGAAGCAATGGAAGCCCAAATTAGTGAGCTTGAAGACAAATCTCTCAATACTAGTATGCTAAAAGAACAATCAGAAAAAAGAAAGAAAAAAATCCAAAGAATGACTCAGAGTTATGTGGTACACAATGAACAGCAACAACTTGGAATTCCAGAATGGGAAGAGACAAGCACAGAGAAAATTGTCAAAGACTTGGAAGAAAACTTCCCTAACGTCATGAAAGACAAAAAGATAAGCATTCTGAGATTACCATACATGACAGCAGCACCCAGAACACAATCTAGATGTAGAAATACTTAAAGTATAATACACCTACGAAATTAAAAATATGGAACCAGAGATATCAATTTAAAATGAAGTCAGCTACAAAGCAAAAAGAGGGAACAGTGTAGATACGGAACTTCCAAATGGCTAGAAAGTCAAGTAGATTTCAAGATAAAATACTTTTTTAAATAGGAGAAAGTTAATAAATTGCCAAGTAACTGCAAGCTCAGAAGTTCAAACCCACCAGCTGCTCCTTGGAAACCATATGCAGGATCACTATGAGTTGGAACTGATTCAATGGCAGTTAACAACAACAACCTCAAAGAGATTTAATAACTTGCCATTAAAATTACAAATGAGAAAAACCAGAAAGATTTAGTAAACATTAATACAATAGAAATGAAAAAAAATAATAATGAAAGAAAAACACACAAACAAAATGAACTTAGTGAAGAAAATGATGTGGAACAAAGAAATCAGCAGCAGCACTACACACACACACAAAACAACAACAAAACCCACATACAGCAAAATGACAGCAGTCAATTCATACCTATTGATAATTACACTGAATATAAATGCATCAAATGCACTAGTCAAGAGACAGAGAGAGTAGAATGTATAAGAAAACAGGATCCTTCAATATGTGGTCTATAAGAGACATATAAAAAAGACAGAGACAGACTAAATCCCCATCAATAGAAGAACGTTTAAACAAACTTTGGTACCTACACACAATGGAATACTATGCAACACTGAAGAATAATGATGAATCTGTGAAACATCTCACAACATAGATGAACCTGGAGGACATTTTACTGAGTAAAATTAGTCAATCACAAAAAGATAAATATTGTATGAGACCAAAGTTGCAAAAAGTTCAGAAAAGTTTTCCTAAATAAAAGAAACACTCAATGATGTTTATGGGGGGAGGGGAGGGGATATTATTCACGAACTTTTTGTTCTGCTGTGCATAAGATCACTATGGGTCTGTACTGACTCGATGGCACCTAACAACAACAACAATAACAAATGGGTAGACACATGTTAACATAGGTGACAGGGCATGAAATATATAGCAAGAAGGAGGGTACCAGTGGAAACATGAATGTATTGGGAGACACAGGGAGGAAAGTAATAGGTAAAGTGAATACAGGTAAATACTGTCAGCTGTAAGGAGCTCTGGTAGCGTAGTGGTTACAAATCGGGCTGTGAACCTTAAGGTCAGCAGTTTGAAACTACCAGCTGTTCCACGGAAGAAAGATGAGGCTTTCTGTTCCCATAAAGATTTACAGCCTCAGAAACCCTGCACAGGGTCTCTATGGGTCAGAACCGACTCCACGGCACATAACAACAAACAACAACGATCAACTGTTGGTACATGGAAGGGATTGCAATCTTTGTAATGAAGCAAAGTATGTGATTTGTTGAATGTAAAACTGATGAAATGCTCTGTAAATCTTCACTCAATTCACAATTAAAAGTTAAACAAACAAAAAAAAAAGATGATGATGTTTGGAAATAGTATAATGGACTAACAAACATTAGTCTCCGTGACCCAGAGACCAGATAACTCTAGGGTGCCTGGTTACTACTACAGACTGCTCTGAAAGGGATCACATTAGAAGGTACTGGATAGAGTGGGAGAAAATATGGAGCAAAGCTCAAAATGATAAAAAAAGACCAGGCTTACTGGTCAGATAGAGACTGGTGGAACCCTGAAGCTATGGCTGTTGGTCACTTTTCTGGTCTGGAACTGAACTCATTTCTCTGTCTCAATTTTCAGCCAAATAATCAATAGGTTAGAGGTGGGACACTAACAGTATTGAGGTATGCTCACCATGGGATGCTCAACCAATTTAAATCGAAGGGCAGCATTTATCTAAGAACGAATTTCAGAAGAATGAGACAGAAGGAAGAATGGAAAGGAGAAATGCAGGGGAGAAATGAGATAAGTGATACTACATTTTGTTGTTGTTAAGTGCTGTCAAATTGGTTCTGACTCATAGGGACCCTGCATAGGGTTTCCTAGGAGCTGCTGGTAAATCTGAACCACCTACCTTGCAGTTTAAGCCAACTTTGGGGTCCAGTGCATTATCCCACAGAGACACACCAGGACTACAATATTACATTTAGGGGATTACACTCATTGAAACAAAGTGTATAATTTTTTGAATTTAAAATTAATGATATGTAAAGCTTCACTCAATTCACAATAAAGAATTTTTTAAAAAGAAAAGATCTCAGTGTCAATAAGATGAAAACTTACCAGAGTCACAAACCATGTCATACTGCATGGTATCCTGGCATAGTAATCATAATGTTGTTGTTGTTAAGTGCCATCGAGTCAGTTCTGACTCAGCTACCCTGTATAGAGTTTCCAAGGAGGGATTGCTGAGTTTGAACTGCCAACCTTGAGGTTGGCAGTCTATTGTTCATCCTATAGCACCACAGAAGTGAGCTCTGGAGTTTGAGTTCTCTTGAGCTAATTTCTCAGTTGGGTCTGCCTTCTAAGCCCTCATGGTTTCCAAGATACTCCAGAACATGTTTCTCCCATGTGAGAAAGCTACAGCATCCAGGCACCTTCTCCTCCAGCTCAGAAAAACCAACCCTACCCAGAACTGAGATCCCTGGAGACTGCTTTGTGCTTTAGATGTGCCCCCTTCTACTGGGAATACGGGAGACTTCAAGTCCAAAGTTAGTACAGAGCCTTCTCTGTGCAGAGGCACTGGCTTTGACTCAAAACTCTCCCTCTTTCTCACACCTTTGGGTCTATCTGCTTGGTAGAGTGGAAGGAATTGAACCCATGCCCAGCTCAATCTTTGATTTATTTCTTTAACCTGACAAGCCCAGTCCCTGCATGAGCTGTCATGTGATGGGCAAATTCTATTCAGTTCATAATGAATTATTCTTATCTTTCAGAATAAAGGACAGAATTGGGCAGTTCGACTCTTCACAGCCTCTCTAGACAGGAATGAAAGTGATCCTTAAAACTAGGCAGTGGGGAAGGCAGATTTCTCTGAGGGAAGAGGCAATAATAGCTAGGAAATTAGGAGACCTGAGAGATTTACCCTGAACTCTGTTACTAATGAGCAATACAACCTTGAGAAGCTCAAACAGTTTCTATGGTTTCCATTTTCTGTAAAATTTTAGGTGGGGGAATGGGATGAGGGGGAGTTGCTGAGTAGTAGTTGTCAACCTTCAACATGCATCAGAATCACCTGATTGTTGGCCTCCAGTCAAATCGGACTCATGGTGACCCCATGTGTTATAAAGTAGAATTTCTCCATAGAGTTTTTTTTATTGTAATCTTAATGGAAGCAGCTTGCCAGGGTTTTTCTTCTGCAGTATCCACAGGGTGGATTCCAACCACCAACCTTAGGTTAGCTGTTGTTGTTAAGTGTTGTTAAGTCAGCTCTGACTCATAATGACCCTGTTTAGGGTTTCCAAGGAGCTGCTGGTGAGTTTGAACTGTTGACCTTGAGATTCAAATCGACCTGGAAGTCCAGTGCTTATCTTACAACGCCTGCCTAGGGACCTATGAATCACTTGGAGGACTCATTAAAACACAGATTGCTGGCCCCTGTCCCAGAATTTCTGATTCAGTAGGTCTGGGGTGGGACCCAAAATTTGCGTCTCCAATACGTTCACAGATGCTGCTGGTTTTGCTACTCAGGGGACCACACATTGCCACCCCCCACATTAGATGGTCTCTAGATCCTTGCTAGTAATTATTTGAGAGTCCTGGTGTGGCACTGTAGAGTAAGCACTGGACTGCTGACCGTAAAATCTGCAGTTCAAACCTACCAGTCACTCCTCAGATATATAGGATTGTTGTGAGTTGGAACTGTATCAATGACTTACCAATAACAATCATTTGAGAGTTTAAATACATAAAACCTCTGTCCCACCTAGTTTCAATGAATCAAAATCTGCATTTACCCAAAATACCCAGGTCATTCTGTAACACATTAAAATTTGAGAAACATAGCTCTAAATTTCCTATATGATTTCGTAGCTAGGAAAAAGATTCTCTCTTTCTACACATGTACACCCACCACCTATATATAGATACAGACAAAACCTGCCTCCTTTTAATTTGCATGTAACAGATTGTGGTTTCCCTAATGCTTTCACTCCACATACACATATGTAGATGTAACGGTTTAACTAGAGAATGTAGCTTGATTTATGTGTTCTTATAAGTAGAATCACAAGAACAGGATCCAAGAAACCTTGGTGGTCTAGTTCAACATCTTATGAAAGAGGAAACAGTGTAAGAGGATATATTGAAAATGAATACATTCAGTTTTATTTCAGTTCTTGTAACATACAAACAACATTGTCAATACCACAAGGCTTTGAGGACACCCCACACTTCCTACTGTGCAGTTTTGGAGTTGAAATATGAACAATTTTAAATTGTGGGGACATAACAGAAATAACCTAAACCAGCAATGAAAGACAAACTGCCGCAGTAGGCTTCAGTGGGTGAGGCACAGATTCCTATTTAACTGCTTGAGATGGACGTCATTTTTGTGATAGTTTTGAAGACTGTATTGTTTTCAGAATACATTTGTCACTCAATTCTTTTTACAGATTGTTGAAACAGCTTAAGTTATTCAAGTTTAAAATGGATGAGATTTTAAAATGGCAGTTTTAGAAGTGTCTGTATAATTAAATTACACAGAGTCTCTATAGGTGGTACACACGGTTAATGCATTCAGCAGCTAACCAAAAAGTTCACCCAGAGGAGTCTTGTAATAAAAGCTTAGTGATCTTCTCCCGAATAACCACCCACTAAGTGTTTAATCTTGTAGCCCTGGGACCATCAAGGGAGAAGAACACAAGCGGAGTGTAGGACCCTATCCAGAGAAGCAGTGACACCATAGATGGAGGCAGAGATGAGTACATGGAGAGCTAGAGTAGCTGAGGACTCTAGACTCATAGAACGAGAAAGGCTGTGTGTTGGTGGCCAGGAGGTAGGCTTACAGAATATGCCCTTTGATTGTTTAAATGATTATATATTCCTGAGTGTTTTTCTGTACATCCTCATTACTGCCTCCCCCCACTAAAAAAACAACAGAGGGAATAGAAGAAAATACTGTTGACTGATGATACACAGAGGAGATTGTAATCATTGCAATGAAATGATGAGTGTAAAACTGATGTTCTCCCATGTAAACTATCACTCAACTCACAATAAAAACTTAAAAAAGAAAAGAAAAGAAAGCCATATAGACTACAGTTCTCTTCACACACAGGTGAGGTTGCACTGAGTCAAAACTGACTTCAGAGGCACTGGTTTGCTGGTAGCATAATTGCACCCTTCCCCATGTCTGTACAATAAATAACTCCAGCTTCCTTTGCATCATGGGCCCTATCTATACTGTCTAAATCTGCAGGGTTTTTCTCCCCTCTAGAGCTTAACGATTTTCACCTCCTATAGACTCCTGGCGCAGCACTGTAGGATAAGTATTGGACTGCTAACCACAAGGTCAGCAATTCAAACCCACCAGTCACTCCTCAGAAACCCTCTATGGGGTCACTATGAGCTGGAACCGACTTGACGACACACAACAACAACATTGGATACAACACTGCTTCCTGCTGGACGAGTAAAGCCCAGAATCAAGTCCTTGAATCCGAGAACGTCTCATAGGTGGGACATGTCATGTGGTGACTCAGAGCAGGTGCTTGTACAGCATTGACTGGGGAAAACCATCATCACAGCTCAGCAGGTACTCCACTTAAATCAGGTGACAAAGGGCATGTGGAGGGCAGATCCTACCTGTGGCTGCTCTTTCTTACGTGTGAATTGGCTATAAAGTTGGTAGTTGCTCACCCCACACTTGACCCCCACAGGGATCCAGGAAGTCCAACCACTATGAACTTACCAGGTCTGGCGGGGGCTTTGGCCTGATGGGGTCTCTGCTGCCGGGCATTCTGGAGCCGGCCGAACCTGCAGGTCTCACTGTCACGGCTATGGAAGTGGTCACTGCGATGTGGCAGCAGCTCCAGGGGTCGAGGGGTGTAGAGGTCTGACTCAATCACCACCTGAGGGGAAGAGGAGAGATTGTCAGCATTCTCATCCTGAAGACCCAGTACCATAGTTCTGCAGATGGACTTGTGTTGACAATGTATTTTTAGCACCTTCCCTACTCTAGTGACTGCTGGGGGCTGTGGTAAACTTGGGTAGAAAACTATTCATAAAGAAGAGAGTGTTTTTTAATTAACTTCACACTGCTAAATGTGCAGGGAAATGATGGTTCAGGGGATTCCTCAACAATAGTACTTGACAAAGTCAGGACCCCAAGTCAGGCCCCAAATCAGGAGGTTACCTCCTGGTGGTTCGATAGTGACTTGACAACAGGGTGGACTGTCGTAAGTGAGGAAATCAAGGTCTTACAGTCTCTGTAGGAAAGTAGAGGCTTTCTTCACAGATGGCAACTTTGTGGGTGCTCTAGTTGAGGGGAACCTTGGGGAAAGGACTCGGGCCCAAGTGATTTTCAGATTTTAAAAAGAAATTGCTAGAAAACAGAGCAGGTATGCTCCCAAAAGCTCACGTTTCACTTCTTCCATGTGCCTACATCACAGTGGTGTGGAAGGAGAGTTCTATACCATGTGTAATTTGATAAATGGAATCCACCAGTTGCTAAATGGTAACGTGTTATTATGGATTGAATGGGCTCTCCCAAAAGGATCTATTGAAATCCTAACCCCTGTGCCTGAGAGTGTGACCTTGTTTGGAAATGTTCATGCTAGAGGAGAGTGGTTCCTACTACTATATAGCTAGTTGTTAAGTGCCGTTGAGTCTCAACTCATAGCAACACTATATAACATTTCCAAAGAGCGGCTGGTGGGTTTGAGCTGCTGACTTGCAATTAAGAGTCCAGTGTTTATCCTATAGTACCACACCAGGACTCCATGAGATCATATAAAAAGAGAAGAGAAACAGGAATGACAATGGTCATGTGACACTGCATCCAGAGGCCACGGGATGCCCAGGATCTCTGACCATCACCAGATGCTACGAGAAAGGCATGAGCCAATTCTTAGAGCCCTCAGAAGTAATCAACATAACCAACACCCCAATTATGGGTTTCTTAGCTTCCAGAACTGTATAATAATAAATTTCTACTCTTAGAAATCACTCAGCTTATGTTTTTTGTTATGATAGTTCTAAGAAAGGTATACAGATATATTCTGAAGAATGCATTATGAATATTTCAGTTATGGTTACCTGTTGAATAATTATATTTGGGAAGTACAGTAAGGGGAACGATCGCTTTGGATAGGACCCACCAAAAAGGGGCTTAAAATTATGATAAAAATACTTAAAATCATTTAAATGTCAAAACTCGAGACAAGTAATATTGGCTTTTTTTTTATCTAAATGCGGGGAGACTTAGCAGGTTTTGACTCATATCCTGCATATTTTTATTCATACCCAGGACACTAGGCTCATTCATTCTGATTTTCTTTACTCTAAGATTCCTTAGAACTCTGCAGCTTCACTGAGATTTGCATTTGCCATACCTTTGCTTGCTTGTTCTATCCACAGATAACTGAAGAGAGCATGCGCTGCCATATCTTGAGTACACTGAGGATCCTCCTGAGAGCGCGGGGGACCCATCTCAGCCCTTACAGTCTAGCCTTACAGAGGTCTCCCTCAGTTGTCCACATAGAGCAATTTGGAAGACACCAAAGCAAAAATGATTGAATTTTGTGTATGTTAACAGGGTATATTTCAACTCAATGCAGAAAGATTAGATCTTTAATAAATACTGTTGGAATAAATGCCAAGCCAAGGGATAAAATGGATCTCTGTTCACATTTTTTACACTAAAACGAATAATACACAGATCAAAGATTTGTGTTAGAATAGAACTGTTGTTAAGTGCTGTCGAGTTTGTTCCAACTCATATCTACACTGTATAGGATTTCAGAGGCTGTAAATCTTTGCGGGAGCAGAAAACCTCATCTTTCTCCTGCGGAGTATCTGGTGGGCTCAAACTGCTGACCTTGTGGCTTGCAGTCCAGTGCTTATCCTACAGAGCCTAGAGTGAGTAAAACATTTGCTAAATGTAATGGAGAATCACCCCTACATACATACAACTCTTACAAATCATAAAGATGAAAAAGAAAAATGGGTAAAAAATATGAACAAGTACTTCAGAGTAGAAATACAAACAGCCAAATAAATACAAATTTCATGGAGAAATTCCAATATCTTTTCATTGATTTTTTCCATGAAATTTTTGAAGCCCCCTCATATACATAT